CTAAGCAGTGGCGGAATTAAGAGGGTGCACCAGGCACAAACCCTAAAACTGTCAAAGTTAGCGTAAATCGATCATAGTTTCGTCGAGAAAATGTAAAAATGTCTACTCGGTAGACCTCATTTTTACTCTACAAAATCTCTAGAATCCAGACCCCCTGCCTACTTTTTGCCCCCCCCCCCCCAACTTCAATTCCTGGATCCGCGCCTGCTAGTACTAATGCAATAGAAACTAAGTCAACCCCAAAAGAAAACAAAAATCTCTAATCACCAACTCCGAATTAAATGATACTCAAAAGTCAGAATTGCAAACTTTTTAAAAGAATTACAGGGATGTTTTTTTTCGGTTGATTTATCGGAATATTGGGAAAAACTGTTGGAGGATTCTCTTTACAAAATATAAGCGTAACCCCCCTTCCCGTTCGCATGCCTTTTTATCGACAATTAACCCCTCATTTACAAAAGGAAATTGACTGACAAGTTCATGAGTTATTGGAAAATGATTTTGTGAGAGTCAAATAGTGAATATCATTCACCTGTTGTTCTTGTATAAAGCAATTAAATTAAATAAAATTACAAAACCTTTGTCATTCCCCTTACCCAGACTTGAGTGTGTTTTTGACACCATAGCAGAGGCAGAATCACAAAGTTTCTCAACCTTTGATCTGCATTCTGGGTTTTGGCAATTACAAATGAACCCAGAAACAAAACACACATATATCATATTTATTATAAAATAAATAAATAAGGGATATAGTTTGACTAATAATCATTATACAGCTTACTTACACGAAACTTTCGAGAACGGTAAGGGAATGTTTACAGGTTTAGTTCTGCATGGTTTAATAATATACAAAACACATTTTTATCAACTAAAATACTGTTAATCGTGTGACCCCCCCCCCCCTTCTTTTTACAGCAATTTTTTTTTAAAAATGTTTGGATTATTAACAAAAGGCTACTACATTGATTTTATTCATCTTTCAAGAAAGTCGTACTCTGAACGGGGCAAAAATGTTCTATTGCGTAACACTCTACAACAGTTGCTCACTGGGTTATTTACGTCGGGATCAAAATACAATGTTGAATAAAAACGAAAGTAAGAATTGCCGCCAAAATGGACTTCAGTATTTAGACAGATTAGACTGCACTGGTACTAACAGCCGAGGTGACAGAGTTAATTAAAGGAGAGAATGGCTGCTTTAACTGACAGCTCATCGTTTGAGGACATCACGGTATGTTCTATTTGCTTTGAGAAATATAAAACACCGCGATATCTACCATGTTCCCATTCCTTTTGTCATGACTGTTTATCGTCACATATTGGAAGTGAGTGTAAATCTACGGAACCACGTTTGGGTTTTAATTGTCCAGTATGCCAAGAATATATTCCAGTTGTCGGTCCATTTCATAAACCAGAAGAATGGGCAGGAACTTTCCCTGAAAATGAAATACTGGAGAAAATTCGGTACCTCGAATTACCGAAATGCCCTTGATTTACCGAAATGCCCCATGAAATTACCGAAATGCCCTTTGAAACTACCGAAATGCCCCTTCAAAACCTCAATACTTTGGTTAATATGAAAGGTAGTGAGTTTAGTATATATAGTTTGATCTTTGATATTAAAAAATATATTTACAAATGTCGTTTTTTTTCAAATAAGTTGTGTTTATCCAAGAAAGATAACTCTTGTTATCTGAAGTTGATCTTCCTTTGTGTAATATTTCTTTGAAATTATATATTATTGTATCAAATGTTATATTACTATCGAAGATTTATTATTTTTTACGGGAATATAATTTTTTTTTTTTTTTTTAAATTACCAATCTTTTATATCACTTTTAATTCGTTGTCAATGTTTTCAATTATTTCCTGAGAAAGAAGATCGGTAGGCTATATACTGATGCTAAGCAACTTCATAGAATCAAAAATATATTTATATATATATATATACATAAACTGTAAAACTATTTTATCAAAGTGAAACACGTACGTGCACAATAAGCTACCGATATTTTAATCCGATCCGAGGAAAATCGTACACTTATATTTATTTTCACAAATGAAAGCAACGTAATTTTGTTTTCATGTTAACAAAATTATTTTCTGAATGATGTCGATTTACAGGCCTAATTATTTTAAACTTTAAAGTTTAATATGCTATAAGCATATCGTAACTTTGTTTATTAGCTGTATTAAATTTTATAACTCTGAAAACTACAGGGGTTTAGTCTCCCCTGCTGCGTGCACTACTGTTAACTATTATTATCTGTACCATTATACATTCAAAAATTTGGCTTCATGTCTATTGACATGTACGTGTCATCCTCGTTAATTGGCCATTTGTGTGGTTCTGTATCCATCCAGGTGTGTGTCGCATTTTATATAAACCTAATGCAAATTAGGCTAAAAAATTTTAAATTACGTTAAAAGATTTAAATAATCTTCTTCTTCCTCTATTCCTCTATCTGGCCGCCTTCATCAAGTTGAAGATTTTGCCAGTTGGGTGTGCGCATGTTTGCATGATTAAAAGAAACTTCTTTGTTTGTTTGTTTGTTTGTTTGTTTTTTAAAAACTGGATAAAAGAAAGATTTTTCAAGTTAGTCTTTCTTAGTCACTCGAGATTTGAAGATCTCGAGTGATTCCGCTGCTGCGGTGTCCTCTGGCAGGCTATTCCATTCTTTGACGGTTTTACAGAAGAATGAATCCGAATAAAAAAAGAAATTAATTTATACAAAATAGAGCTACATGGTTATGCTTTTTTAATGACCTAGTGACTTTGTTAGAGTCGTTTTCCTTTACTGAATCGCAATTCCCACTGGATTAAAAAACAATGTATATTTTGTAGTACAAAATTCGCACAATCTTGGCAAACGGACAAAAGGCCAAAGAAGTTCCTTTTCCGATGACTGTGGAGTTTGGAACTCCTCCTCAGGCAGCACTCCAAACTCAGTGATCGAGTTATATCTTCATTACACGACCCTCAAGCAAGATTCTTCATACAAAAAATATGTTTCGTGGCTGGCAAGTAACAATGAGGAACAAATTGCGCTCGTGGAATATTTAGGCCATTTTCCGGGACTTGCCTAACACGGAAATTCTAAACAAAAAAAAAAAACGAGTACATGCGAACGTCTGCCAATGTAATGCAGGAAATGCAAGAAATGTCTCTTGAGTAGTAAAAGACCTGGGGACTTGTACAATGTACTGACAGCAAAATAAAAATCGTAATGACAAAAAGAAAGTACGTAGCGATCAAGACATTTCTTACGTTGGGGTAATATCGCGGATCACATATCCGAAACACGGGTACTTGTGGACAGGACCCCCTCTCCCCGCGCCCCAATTCAACCCCGATGTTTGTTGGACATTTTTTTCACAAATTATATTTATTACACTTGTTCATCATATATACCATAGGAAAAAATCGTGAAAATCCCAGAATAATCGTTCCACACTAAAATACCCCACTATACATTATAAGAGAGTGAGGCATTTTTTCTTTGTGTGGAACGATTATTTTGGGGTTTTCACGATTTTTTCCTATGGTACATATGATGAATAAGTGCAATAAATATAATTTGTGAAAAAAATGTCCAATAAGCCCGGGGGTTGAATATCGGGGGGGAGGGGGGTTGTCCTGTCCACAAGTACCTGTGATCCGAAATTGATAAATTGGTTTATTATTCATTTTTGGGTTTAATTTATCATTTCAAGAATAATTTTTTTTTTCACTATTCATCTTTGGGTTTATTTATTATTATTTCAAGTTTCGTCTTTGGGTTAAATTATTATTATTTCAAGTTTGATCATTGGGTCAAATTATTATTATAATATCAAGTTTGATTCTTTAATCATTCATCTTTGGCTTCAATAGTTTTTATTTTTCTTCTAAATTATGGCTCATACTGAGAAGGCCCGGCTTCACATGGCAAGAGCTGGGCAACGGTATCTTGGTGGTGGGGTGGGGGGTTAATTTAATTATACCGGCGAACATTCTTAAATACATTATAATGCTAAGGATATTTTTGTTCCAAACACTTTTGATTACAGAAATAAAGTTAAGAATATAAAACAGATTTCCGTTATAATTCGCCTTCTTCCTTCGCTTACTTGAGACTTTGTTCAGCAATTAAGTTTACCGTTTCCTGTATATGGTGGCTGACCTAGTGTATTGCATTTGATTTATATTCAGCTTTTGATTACCCAGAAGTCCCTTTTAAAACTCTTTTTTAAAACCTTATATTTTATTAAATTATATGAGGTGTTAAATAAAAACAGTTTACTTACTTGTACTTGTACTTACTTGTACTTCTGTCATGTTTTCTTCTTCTTCTTCCTTTTTGAAAAATTATTTAACAAGACATACGGTATAAAATTTTGTCATCAAAATTAAAAAAAAAAAAAAAAAGAGGGATCATTAAATCATAAAATAATAAAATTACAACATTGGACAATAACATTCCCGCTGAGACAATGTTGCAAGAGTTATCGCTCTTAGATGTCACGATAATTGAGCGAATTAAACACAAATTTTTACATTTGTGTTCAAAATACAAAGTTTTATTAATAAAATTTATCATAAATTATCATAAAATGCCTATTTGGGTACAATTAAAGGGGCATTTCGGTAGTTTCAAGGGGCATTTCGGTAATTTCCAGGGGCATTTCGGTAAATCGGGGCATTTCGGTAATTCGGGTTACCCGAGAAAATTCTAAAAAGCTCGGGCCAAAAATGTTGTGATCCTTGCTTGAGAGAAAATGAGGAGGAATATGCATCCGACTTTTGTTTAACATGTTTGGAATATATGTGCAAAATGTGTACGAGGCATCACAGAAAACATTTGTCAAGAGATCATAATCTCTGCCCTTTGAATGAGATCAAATCACAACACATACAATCAAATTTAGGAAAAGATGACTTTTGCAAAAAGCATCAAGACCAAAAGTTGAATCTCTACTGTTACGAACATGAACAGCCATGTTGCATAATATGTGGAGGAATGGAACACAGACAATGTGATTCTGTTGAAGCTATTGAAAAAGCTTCTCAAACCTTCAAAGAGAGTGGCAAACTTGAAAGCATCTTAGAGAGTGTAAAACAATTAAAACAGAAATTGATGGGTGCAAAGGAAGAACAAGAGAAGAATATTACAGAACTAGAAGACACCTTAGACAAAATCACAAAAGAAACTGAAAAAGAAGTAAATGATGTTGTTCGTCTCATCGAAAGATTAAAAACGGAACATTTGCAAGAGGTAACTAGTGCTGTTAAAAAAGGCAAAGAAATGCTGAATCGAATTGTGCTCACTGTTAGTGATGGAATTAATTGTGCGGACAAACCTTCTTCAATGATTAAATGTTCTACAGCTATGCACACATTTCAACAGTTGGAGAAAGTTAAATTCCAGACCAGTAAAATTCATATACTGACAGACAGAGAACCTGTTTTGAAGGAAATAGGAAATATATGTAAAATTGGAAAAGTTAACGTCAATGAATTTGTTCAAGATGTTTCAAAGGCTAATTTTGATGTGAGAAATATTTTGCTATCTTCAGTTACTGAAGTTAAAATCAGGGAAGGACGTTGCAGAAATGGAATTTTTCTGTCGAATACACAACTTATATTTACTGATAGTAAAGGGAAAAAACTTCTTTATGGAGAACTTGCTGAAAAAGAATGGACATGGATTAAAAACATTGAACCATTAGATGATCCTTTCTGCCTTTTGCTAAATGGAGATGAATTAGTTGTTGCCTGTGTTGGATCAAAATCTATTGAAGCGTTTTCAATATCTGACTTCAGAAAATTAAGAAGCATAAAAATGAATATGAAAATTTTTGGGTTGTCGCACATGAAGGGCTATTTCTATGGAGCTTGTGGCAATAAGATAGTGAGGTTCGATAATTTAGGGAATATTATAAATGAATTGGAAACATCTGGCCAAAATGCTATGAATGTTATTACCACAGACTGTGGACTTATTGTATATAGTGACTGGAAGATGGACAGTGTTACTGCAATTACTGAACAGGGAGACACAGTATGGAATTATACAAGTCTTGATCTGAAATGTCCATACGGCTTGGAAATAGATTTGTTAGAAAATATGTATGTTGCTGGCATGCATAGTAACAATATTCATGTGATATCAAGTACAGGTGAACTTGTTCGGTTGTTCCAAAATATTATTAAAAATCCAGTATTTATGAAAATGAATGATGAAAGAAGTATGTGTTGTGTATGCAGTAATTATGAAACCATAAAATTTTTTGAAATGAAGTAGAAAACCAATTTGAAAGAAGACATTGGACTGCATGACATGCATGTTAATTATATACTGTTACAGTCAGTGCTTAAAACATATCTTCAGGCAGAGTAAAATCTTTTGAATTTTTATCAGTTTGAGACCACAGTTAAATATATATGTATAATTTCTCTTATTTTTTCTTTTTGCAATTCTGTCATTTTCCACAAAGCAGTGATATGTACTTTTTCCAAACTTATGAGTATTGCTAATAAAATATTGTACAGTTCAAAGTTAGTTTGTTCACCAACATTTCAATGTAGAAAATTATGTGACAGAAAACTTACCAGTGTAGCTTTAATCAATAAAGACATTATGTACTGCTATAGTAGTTAAGGCACACAATGGAAATATCTGTGAATTTTTGTGATAAAAATTTTTAAAAAGCAATATTTTTAGGACAAACATTTTAGACTTCCAATTCTAGGTGATCATTATTTTTTTTTTTTTTTTTTTTTTTTTGATGTACACAGACACACAGGCCCCTTTGACTTTAAAAATGATATGATCTGTATTTCCCTACAAATGATAATAAAAAAAAAATAAAGTTTAAAGAACTCTTAAAAAGGATCAGATAGGGGCAATTGTGAAAGGTTGTTCAAATTGCATTAAAAAAAATCATTTTTTCATTGTTGGCCTTAGCAATATTCAGACAATTGCAATATGAGGGAAAAAATACAAATTGATGACTACATGTACAGGAGATTTTATATTCCTGTACTTTGAACTAATAATATGGCAATAGTTTGCTTTAAGCAAATATACATCATACCATGCACCTACAGTTGAGTTTGGTTCCATATATACAAAGGAGATGGGTGAACAAGGTGCACAGAATCCCTATAGCTTCAGATACATAATCAAAGTACTGAAAGTATTGATGGGAGTTGATTTTACAAATGGTTTCAATAAAATTCAAATTACGTTACCTTGTTCACAGCTTTTCAAATTACGTACAACATTAATGCTTCATAAGTTGGTATTTGAGAAGCAAATGACTAATAGGATGTCACGATTCTACAGAGTTAAAGAGGTAAGGTTTGTTCTAATTTTTCCATAACTTTGGAATGATATGCAAAAACATGTCAGATTTCTCCGCTGCTGCAATTTTTTTTCACTAATTTAAGATTTTTTCTTACCAAAAGTTCGTTTAAAAGTACTGTAGCAACTTAGCTTTTTTTCAGAATTTGATACAAGTGAATTCATTATACAATATTTAACTAAACAATTTTTAAGTGTACGTTTGAATTTACATATAGAGAATTGTGTACGTTTTGCTAATTTATACTTTGCATAGTGTCCGTATTGTTTTCAATATGGCAGATTTCTGTTCAATATATTATAATTATATATGAATATAAAAAAAACATAGATTAAAAAATAAAAATTTGGAATAATTTCTTCCTCATTTGGTTCTATATTTAAATGTGTCCTGGAATGGAATGCACTGTTTTTTTACAAAATGACGAAAAGTTGATGGTTCCTTCTGAGTTTGAAAATCTGAAGCAAAGCTTCGTTAGAATGATACAGAAAAATGAGGTAAAGGAGCTTGGAAGGTCTTTATCAAGTTAATTTAGAATGATTTACCATTTTCTGAAAGATTTTGTCCTCATCTTAGTGAAGGTATGGACCTTGTACTTTCAGTTTCTAAGATAATAATTTTCATTTTGAAATTAAAAATCACATTGGAGATGGAATTTAGAAAAGTTAAACGCCACTCTCGGTGGGGAAAATGCTATTGTTTATGCCTGGGGAAATACAAGTATAAAACTTCATTATTGACATAACATGGTGAGATGTCATGAATGGAGTGGACAGCATTTCTCCATATGATGTAATGATTGAAGTTAAATTCACGAATACTATCTATATTGGTGACGAGAAAATTAATGGAGCTATACCAGGAAGGAAGATTTTCTCAAATAGTGACTTGGATTCACAATATGCGTCTTGTAAAAGTGGAAAAGACTGACATGGATTCTTAAGCCCATATCAATAATTTATCATTGATAGAATAACCTCAAAGTGTAAGAGAAATCAACCCAATTCAGATAGGACATCAAAATACCGTTAATTAAGTTGCAAATTTATGCACACCAAGTACTGATTTACAACATTTCAGATGAAGTGTGTCACAGATTAAGTTAGAGTATATACTGTCAATAGTTTAACTAGGAATGCTATTTATTAAGTAATTGGGTTAAAATCCCAAACCTTAAGATGCATACAATAAAATGGGTTTTAATAGTGTTATGAAAAATGTGAATAATGGTTTTTTTTTAATGTCTGGATTCAGTTAATTTACTTTTTCCCTGTTTTAAAAAAATGATTTTAATGCTTTTTGATAAAGTGCTCCTGAGCAAAAGAGAAAGAGCCTGAGGAATAAAATGTTACCGCCAGGTATTTACATGTATTCAGACACACTACATGTATACTATGTAACAGTATATTTAAAAATAGACTGTGTTTGTTTATGAAAAATTAATAAAGCCTTACCCTTATTGCCTGGCACAATTCATTTTAAAGGTATCATTTCATATTTTTGGGACTGATTTTGCTAAAATCTAATTAAGATTGCAGCGAGATAAAATGTCATTACCTGTACAAGTATATTGAAACCCCAAAGCAACATATTTGGTCTTTGTTCCCAAAATGTGTTACAGTACATTACACGCAAAAATACTCAATGTGCCCCCAATTTGCAAAAAATCTGGATCCACTCCGAATCCTGCTATTCAACAGTCAACTAATTATCGAGACAATAACATGTACAACATTCCTAAGAAAAAAATAAATACAATCAGCAAGCTTCATGAATAACACATCTACAGAATTCAATCCTGTGTATTAGTGAGCATACTATCATTAATTATCATTCTGGACAGAAAAGTAAAAGGCTTAATTGGAAGTTATTTGTCCATGCAGTAGGTCACTTCTTCTGAAGTGGGGAGCTTTAGAACTTTACACATATTAGAGATAAACGCCCGCTGTGATAATCAGTCACGCGCATACAACAGTTAGAAGTTGCATTTACATCAATATTGTCTGTATCAATTTGATACACTTCTCTGTATACCATCATGTATTTAAATATATATCTCATTATTAATCCCGTTTTAATTGTCCCTATGCAAGTTTGTCGAACGAAAGCTTCCAGTGCCAGTGCAGTGTGAGCTGTTCGTTAGCAGTTCTCTGTGACCTCGAGGTATTTTTAAAATATCTACGTCAGCGAGAGTATTAATCAGCCAATCAGCTGAGCCAGCAAGGACTCTTAATTTTCATTACTGATCATACGTCTTATACAACTGCAAATACTTTTACTGACAACTGCAAATACTTTTACTGAGAGTTAGTCGTAGCATCATTTAAAGTTCAAATGTATTCAATGTATTGAAATGGAAAAAATATTTTTCTTGATAAATAATGTGTTCAGAATGTATTGCATCAAATTTTTCAATCATTTTCAAGTATACTATCTCTTGTCAGCGGCGATAATTTTCCATTGATGATTTTCTCTCAGAGAAGTGATTCGGTAAAAACACTGTTTGGTCTGGGTAAGTGCATGGGAGAGTTGATAAAATCAACTCCCAAAAATCATAATCAATTTGTGAATAAAGTATTTAGAGTGAAGTTCTCATCATTGAAATTTATGATATTATGATAAACAATTTTTTTCTGAGGAAAATTTTCTCGACAAATATTATTCTGTTATTAAAAAAAACAATATGGTATTCGTGGAATTCGAACCCTAGCATTAAAAATCCTGATTATCATTTTCTTTTGAGACTAACACACAAACCACTATGCTACACAAGTCCTGATAAATGGTGGTATTTAAATCATGTTTGTGATATGACCCTTGACTAAATGGACTTCAAGTATTTCTCGGAAAGATGCGAATGTTGTGTCATAAAAGTGTATTTAAAAGGTAGAGTGGGTCTTTGCTCCATGTTTTTGTTAACCAAAAATTGTATATTTTAACTAGGGATGTCAATTTTGTCAACAATTCATATTCGAATATTCAATGAAAGTATTCGAATATATTCGAATATTCGATAAAATAAATAAAATCTGTTTTATTTTAAATATGCATCTTATAGTGGTGGACTTTCCCATGAAAGGTTTAGCGTAGGTATACTTATATTGGAAGCAAAATTGTATGAAGACTTTTATAGGTGTACAAAAAGAAATTCCATTCGATATTTGTCAATGTTTGAAATAAATAAATGATTTAAATGTAGAAAAGTATAATTTTATCAAATGAAACATATGTATTTATAGTAGCTTGATCCAACTGAGGAACCAGTCGATCGTCTTACAAAAGGCAAGATAGTCGGAATGGTATACTGTGCAGATTTCAATACGTGTAATAAATTACAATTATCTGCCTAATAAGAGATATGATTAATAAATAATAAATAATCTTTGATACAATGTAAACAAATATTTCCATAGACAATGTTCTTAGGTAATTAACTAATTTCCCGATAATGAATATAAAATTCAGAATTATGTACAACTCGAGATAATCAAGTAATTTACACATTTATTCTGAAATCGAGCCCTTTACAATATTAATTACAGATTAATTCTATCGGACATTCATTCAATGATCAATTAATTTTATTTTGATAAGTATACTCTTCGCGTCTTTTAGACATTCTTAGATTTCATTTGTTGTCCTCGATTCTAGATCCGATCGTATCTAACTAATAAAAATTATGAAAGTACGTTATGTATTATACATAAAGAGTTATAATTCCAGCACTGTTCTAATCAAAATTTATTAATCACAGTACTTCTTTTTATGAAATCTGAAATACCGAATATTCGAATCTTAAATTCATATTCGAATATCAACTCATCGAATGAATATTCGAATGTTCGAATATTCGTTGCCATCCCTAATTTTTACGCAAACTTTGAGGATAAACTTTCAAAAATATGGAGCGAAGACACACTCATATCGAAAATTTGTG